TTGAGCCTCTCTTTGCAATATATTACAACCCATCTCTGACTGGTGTTCTTTAAAAGGATCAATGCTATTCCTGTGGAATCCCTAGAGTCCAAAATTTCATTGATCTTGGGACTTGACATTTCTCATTACGTGCTATAGCTTCCAACAAGATAGTCACAAGAGAGGCAACTTAACATTGTTGTCTCTTCGGCAGACACTCAGAATACATTGGGACTTCAGCTCAAAGCCAATCTGCTTTTAAAGTATGTAGTTTTAATGTTTATACCACATATAAGGTGCTTTATAGAACGTTTGATACACATACAAACATTTTTAAATCATAGCCATGTGAAACTTTGAAAGAGCATTTACCGTTCATCTTTTCTAATCAAATCTACAAATATTCATTGGGTAATGTGTATAACATATTGTTGTTATGCCTTTCTATTCCACTTCTTAAAAATAAGTCTTTTAGCTCGTGTACAGGCATTATTCAGACTGTGAAAGGAGAAGCCAATTGCAAAGGAGAGTCCAGCTGTGCACACACACCTTCTCTGGGCTCCCATTGTGTATGCCTCAGCTCTGGACGCTGACCCTCCTGCCAGCCACAACCTGTCACCAAACATCTGCCAAATCACATCCCTCTCTTTGTTTGCATCCAGGCTTCTTTTAAAAAGACTATTCTGGTGCCCAGCTCCACGACTGCCACTAACCAGTGCTATTATAAGAAATGAAAGCATGGGCGATGAATAGCCCAGAGAGATTTGTAGAGTGTATTTAGATTTAGATACATTAAACAAGTTTGTATCACTTCTCGGAGCAGAGAATCTTAGCTAGGATTTAGCATATGTTAAACCATCTTTTTAAGATCAGAGGAAGCATAGCTCCATATGTAATAGTTCTCACCATGCAGGGCTTTTTGAGGACCAAATGGTAATGGATATATTGGAACATCCATAGCACAGAGCCCATTCTGCAGACCACTCAGCCACCCCATCCCCTCATTCTAACACGAGGAGACTTTCCAGGGTTCCAGACTGAGAAGGGAGCTCCTTGCCACTCGGCCTCTGCTTTTCCTTTCCCTTTATGGGACTACGGCTTCAAGAAAGGTCTTTGGCCTAGATTGGAAGCAATATATACAGAGTGACTAATGTGTTCTGATCAGAGACCTTCGGGTTCCAGACCAGGGGGTGTCTGGGCTTTACACAGAGCCCAGCTTCCTGAGGAAGGGGAGGTGAATGATACTATTAGTTGTTTTTAGAAGGTGAGCGTAGGGGAGTAATGTACTGTGACCTAGGTCTGGGCTCAGGACTTCAAGAGAAGAGGTTGTCCTGCAGTGGCAGTGCTCAGAGGAAAATGTAGTCATTGTTATCTCTGAAGAGGAAAAAGAAGTTAGGGTGAATGAATAAATACTTTCACCATATCTATCTTCCATTCTTCACTGAATACTCTATGAGTACATAAGGAAATGAAACCACATCATGGGTGAATTTGACATTTTCCAACCCACAGAATGTTTTTACTTGCATTATCTTGGGACCTTAGGAAATGCAGGTCCAAGCATATTTGGTAACTGGAACAGACCTCCACAGCACGCGCCTGTGGCTGAGGAGTTGGGGTCTTGAGAAGGGACTCCTGACTGATACTGTTCTTCTCAGCTATTCCAGCAAATTTCTAACCTAATATGTTGAAATAAACCTTGAAATCATAGTAGCAATGAAACCACCATACCCTTTGACTAAATCCCTTATTCTGGGATTTTAACTTTAAAAGCTGCATCATATTTTATCTAAGTATAAACATGAATGAAAATACCTGCTGCCATGATTCTGCAGTGACTTCCCCAGGGTCAGAAATAAAATTTTAATGTCATATACCAGGAGGTTTATCCTCTTACTGTGGAGCGGAGGTCTTAGAAATCCACTGGCTCTGTTTAGTTCTAAATCAGAAGGACCACAGCTTCCCCTGCATATCAGTGTCCCACAAATGAGGTTTAAAATAAGAACCATGAGTTCTTTACTTTACCCATTTCTCTAAAAGCCAGAGACCATCTCACTGAAAAACCTCTCCTGTCTATGTGAATAAGCAGCATCTAATACTAGTATATTTTTTATCATCTGTTTTGAGAATATTGAAATGACCTTTGATAAAAGGAGGATGGAATTTGTTTATTTTAAGCCTTTTAATATTTGGAGTTTCCAAATGCATGTCTATGAGGAATCTAAAAATTGGACGTGTTTGTTCTTCATCAGTTCTAGTCATTCCAGCACATGGCAAGTGCTTCTGTGGAGGCAGTGGTGGGGCTGAGGGCGATGACGGGGCAGAGGGGCGGTCCACCTGCACCTCCCTCTGCACTGGGCCCTTTAACCCTGGGCTACATCCATCAACTGTGATGTGACAGTGACAGAATATTCCCCGGATTTTGAAGGATTGTTGGGGTGTGTGACATCTGTCCCTAGCAACAAAATGAAATATAGGAAATAAGCTTTCCCGCCGCTGCAGGTTTGCCAACTCAGAAAGCCTGGAATGGCGTTTTATTTGCCTTTCACTTAAAGAAGGAAACAGTGCTTTCAGGGGCCCTAAACAATATCCCCTAATAGTTAAGTTCCACAGTTTATTCAGATGATCTGGGGAAATTGTAATGAAAAAAAATAAAACATTTTAAACCTCTAAATCAGACACGAGCCTTTGAAAAACTCATTTCCTAGCAGAAAATGTATAACATGCATAAGGAATAGTTTTATACATTTTTTTCTCAATTCCCTGCAATAGGATCAGATTGCTTTTTATTTTTTCCACAGCACATTAGGGAAAGGTCTCAAAACTATTTATTTTATATAAATGAATTAAGTGTATAATTTCAGGGTTTTCCAGTATGCTAGTCTCTCCAAGTTAAAATTATCATTTAGAAAAATTAAAGCTGATATTACACATAAAATCTTACCAATACCTTTTTAAAGATTTAATTTTTATGGATGCATAATAGTTGTACATATTGATGGGATGTGTTGATACAATGATACAATGTGTAATGATCAAATCAGGGTAACTGGGATATCCAGCACCTCAAACATTTATCACTTCTTTGCATTAGGAACATTCCAAATCTTTTCTTCTAGTTATTTTGAAATGTACAATAAATTATTAGCCGTAGTCACTCTATTTTGCTACCAAACACTAGATCTTATTCCTTCTATCTAACTGTATCTATCTAGTTGTATTGTTCTACCCATTAACCAACCCCTCCCCACCACCCTTGCCAGCCTCAGGTAACCATCATTCTGTTTATTTCCTCTGTGAGATCAATTTCTTCACCTCCCACATATGAGTAAAAAGATGGGACAGTTGTCTTTCTGTGCCTGGCTAATTTCACCTAACCTCATGTCCTTCAATTCCATCTATGTTGTTGCAAATGACAGGATTTCTTTTTTATAGCAAAATAATATTCCATTATGTAAATATACCTCATTTTCTTTATCTGTTCATTATTTGTTGGACACTTAGGTTGATTCTACATCTGAACTATTGTGAATAGTGCTGCAGTCAACACAGGGGTGCAGATATCTCCTTGATACGCTGATTTCCTTTCTTTTGAGAACTCTTATCAATGCTTAAAGCTTATTTTACCAGGGAACCCAGGGCATCTTTGAAACAATTTTTGTTTCTTTTTAACCTTTTTCCTGCAGTGTGAAACATAATTTAACAAATTATATATGTTTCAGACAAGTCTAGGACTGCTGACATTGTAAATGGACACTTAACCAGTAGTCAAAACACATTATAGCAACATCCATGTGTTTAGAAGAAGATGGCAAGCTAGCAGGAACTGCTGTCCCGCTTCTCCCACACTCCATCTAAGAGATAACTCAGAAACAAAATTGGAGCTGATGGGTCTGAGAAAACGCACATAAATCCCTGGGGAGACCGAAGATAGGCGGGTCTTAAGAGAAGATAGGCAGGTCTTACAGAAGGGGCTCTTGGCCGACCAGAGTGGAAGATGTGAGGCACCTTACTGGGTAAGGCCTTATGATTATGCACTTTCCTCGTGAACTCCCTGTGGCTTCCCTCTTGCCACTGTGGGCAGAGAACTGGATCAGCAGTCCAGCTGGCCAGCACCCAGAGGTCCCATAAGTGCCAAAGAAGGGGCTGTCCAAGGGGAGGCACATCTGCCAGCCCTGGAACATTTAACTTCCCCCAACCCCAGTGAGGGCCAATAGTTCAACCTAGGAGGCAGCTCTGGGAAAGAGGGGCACCAAGACCAAAGTACAGGGTGGTTCTCTGAGAGACAGGATGGGGGCCGGGGTTGGTTACCCCACCAAAAAATAGGAATTCACAGAGAAAAGCAGGCAAGCATGCAAGGAACACAAGTGCTAGAAAAGAAAGATCGCAAATGGAACAACCTATATGGGTGATGCAGAATAAGCTCATTTCCTTCCAATAAAAGAAGAGAAAAATGTAGAACTTTTTACAAAAGGCATAATATTCTCTGAGTCCTTTAGTTTATGAAAGCAGTTAGCAGTGAAAATGCTTTTGGGATATAATTCAGCTGGACTTTTTAGCTAGGTCCGCACTAATAAAGCGAAGTGGGTTCAATTCCAGCCCTTAGCTGTTGGGCAAGTTGAATCACCTTGCAAAGCCTTGGGTTTCTAGGTGATAGACTAGGCATAGTAAGAGTTCCTATGTCATAGAGCATTACCATAAATACATGAGGTAACACAGATAAATGCCTTAGCAGGCATTGTACCTGTTTCATAATAATAATGGAAGAAAAAGAATAGACATTACCACTCTCGTTATGCTCTAAGCATGTCACATATGTTAACTTGTCCTGTCATCTAAACAGCACTAGTTATGTGCATTTCACAGAAGAGGAGAACAGAGAGGTTAAGTGGCTTATGGTCACACAGCTTAATAATAATGCCCATAATAAACATGGGTATTTATCGAATGTTGCGTTGCTGGTGTAGCTCTCTCCCCCTGCCATTGGTCTGTAGTGCCTCACTGCTGCTGTTTTCTTGCAGGTGACTATCCTGCACCAAGAGCCGTCCTCACAGGCCATGACCATGAGGTTGTCTGTGTTTCTGTCTGTGCAGAACTTGGGCTTGTTATCAGTGGTGCTAAAGGTCAGAAGTCATTTCTTTCATTTTCAATGTTTAGAAACTTGACGGTTTTCTTACAATAAGCATGATTGCCAGTTTATTTCTTCCAGGAAGTTTCCCATAGACAAATGGTATCCCGAAGTTATTTGTAGATGTTTACTTTTATGATTAATATTTACTAGCACTAATATAAAATATGTATAAAATTTTATATAGTATTTTGTGGTCAACAGCATTCTAACCAGAACACTGATAAATTAAATTACAGTGTATTCATATGATGCAGCCATTATAAAGGACATTTAAAAGACAAGGGAAAAGTATCCCTGATGTAGTGGGGGAGATGGGGGGTCAGGTCACTCATCATACACGGCCTTGGACCCCCTTCCTCTGCAAGTCTCTTTCTTTATAAGGCCAGGGGCTGTGTAGAAGTTGGTGAAAAGGAAACAAAGATTACTTGGTTCTTTGGAGGTTTTGTGTTTGAGGCATACTTTCGCTCGTCACCCAGGCTGGGGTACAGTGGTGCAATCCAGGCTCCCTGCAACTTCCGCCTCCTGGGTTCAAGTGATTCTCCTGCTTCACCCTCCCAAGTAGCTGGGATTACAGGCATGCACCACCGGGCCTGGCTCATTTTTTGTATTTTCAGTAGAGATGGAGTTTCACCATATTGGCCAGGCTGGTCTTGAACTCCTGACCTCAGGTGATCCACCCACCTCAGCCTCCCAAATTGCTGGGATCACAGGCGTGAGCCACCACACCCAGCCTCTTTGGAGTTTTTGTAGAAGACATTTCATTTCAGGAAGTCAGGAAACTTACGTCCTAGTTCTGGCTCAAATAGCATTTCTCTGTAGGAAGAGTCCCAGGCAGAAAGGAGCCCTGGGTGCTGCTGGAGTACCACTGTGGTGCCACAACCTGGAGGAGTGGGAAGGCTGAAGGGATGTGAGGGGCCTGGGACACAAGCATTTGCAATTTTTTTTTTTTTTTTTTTTTTAATGAGTATAGTTGGAAACCATTGAAGTTTTTTAATCGAGGTGATGAGATCGATCGGTTTGGTTGTTAGAGCTCATTTCAGCTGTTCTACAGAGAATGGATAGAGTCTGAAGGCTGGCACCATGTTTTTAAAATTTTAGTATCTAAGAATAAATAACCCATAAATGGACACTTAGGGTATTTTCAGCCTTTTAATTTTAAAAATAATATGTGTAATATCATTTTACCCTGTGAAGTTAAAAAAAAGGACAATAAGTGACACATAGTATGCACCAAGAAAGAGACATTTCCTACAGGGCTGCGTGACGTTAGAGATGATTGCTGGTGTTTTCCTAATTCTCTGTAGGGCAAGTCTATTACTTTAGTAATCAGGACAAAATGTAATAATGTCCCTTGCTTTGTAAAATATGTGTCTATTCAGATCAATTAAAAATAAGCATGTAATTCATACACTGTTTTGTGGAGATCTTTTTGGGACAAGGGAATAGATATAAATACCAAGCTATAGTGAACAATTTTTATGAACTGATCAGTGAATTTTTTACCTTATCAACACTATTTTGTAAGGGCGAAGAAACCCAGAAACAGTCAGAGCCAAATGTCACTCTTTATCCTCCTTTCACACTCTTGCCTCACTATTCATTTATGTAACAGACAAAGTATGTTTCTGTAGGTTGAAATAATAAGTTTTCTAAATTTTGCTTTTACATTTTATGCACAGATGACAGAAAAAGGTAAAATGTACTTGACAGTAATGTATTTATGTGGTACAATGCATAAAATTTTGAGGCTACTTGAGAAAATGAGCAGCTGTTCTGATAATTCTATTAAACTTTCAAGAAAAGTTTATAAAAGCATATTAAGAGAAAATGTCTGGCACACAAAATCTTTTATTCTCACATAATCTGTGAACTGTACCATTTCGTTACGAATATTACCTGACAAAGGAAAAGACCAAGTATTTACCTGAAGAAGTGTGCAGCGCAGGAGTGTGACATGTGACAGGTACTCTGGCTTTGCTCTGTTTAAATATAACATCAGCGCTTGGCCTGGCCAGCCTACCTCTTTCATCACATCTGAGTGCACACTCAGCGAGGTTTTTGGGTTGGTGGGAGCTACTATGTCGTTTGTCATCCCCAACTGACCCTGGCATTGATGTCCCCACTTTGCAGAGGGCCCTTGCCTTGTCCACACCATCACTGGAGATTTGCTGAGAGCCCTTGAAGGACCAGAAAACTGCTTATTCCCACGCTTGATTTCTGTCTCCAGCGAAGGCCATTGTATCATATACTATGAACGAGGGCGATTCAGCAATTTCAGCATTAATGGGAAACTTTTGGCTCAAATGGAGATCAATGATTCAACACGGGTAAATCTGCATACTTCGTGCTAAGTAGGACTGAAGCCAGGAGATTAAAGATTGATTGTTTTACATTAAATAATTCATAATAGAATTTCTGTGCTATCCAGATAAATGTCTTCTAGATTAAAAGTATATAATTTCATGTGGACTGATACTTTAAACAAATTCAAAATTCATTTAACTCCAAGTAATTAACTCAGTGAATTAGACTTCAGAAATGATAGCTGTTGTTTGATTAAAGCTTAGACCCTTAAGAGGGTTTTTAAAGCTCCTTTTATAATTGTTTCAGCGCTGCACCCTCACAACATTAAAAGTGAGTTTATTTTCAAAGATTTGTATCTTTAGAACCCTAAACAAAAATTATATATACCCATTTACCCTTCATTCACAAATAAATTATAATTGCTGGGTTGTCATTATTAAACACTATTTTGAAATATGCTTCTTCCATTTGTTCTAAAATTCTCTACAATATTAATATTCAGGTTTTAACTAAATGTGTTACTTAATGCTCAAGTTCTTCCTGGATTAAATTGGTAATATTCTCTTGGGAATTTAATCTTGATTTGAATAAGATCTTTTGTATATGTAAGAACTTCTATGAATTCCACATTGGGAATTCTGTGGATTGAACTTGACAAAAGTTGGACAAATAACTAACAGTAGTCAATAATGACAAAGGAACTGTACTGAGTACTTTTCAGTAGTGACAGTTGGCTATTTAGGAAAAATTGAGAGAGATGGTTGTTGTGTTTTTAATTTTGTTTTGTTTTACCTTTTCTGAAGGCCATTCTCCTGAGCAGTGATGGCCAGAACCTGGTCACCGGAGGGGACAATGGGGTAGTAGAGGTCTGGCAGGCCTGTGACTTCAAGCAACTGTACATTTACCCTGGATGTGATGCTGGCATTAGAGCAATGGACTTGTCCCATGACCAGAGGTGAGCTGCGCCAAGGACAAGTGTCATCACTGAGAACTGTCATTGAAGGCTCTCTCCATTCTACCAAGGGTGAATTGTGCTGTGAGTGCAATTCCAGCATCCAGATGAAAGGAAAACTGGCAAAGAAAAGGTGGAAATGAGGGGAAGAGTAAGGATTCTAGTGAGAGGGAAACAGGAAGAGAATAAGAAGGAAAAAAAAGAAATGGATCTGATGAAGAACAGGCGCCTCCAGACATGTTTTAAGGGCCCAAAACATAGAACTTACTCCCACCAAGTTCCCTGTTCTCAGATCCTTGCCTAGTCTCAGACAGGTCACCCTGGCTTATAGGATGTGAGGGAAACACGTATTTTTCAGCAGAGGTGGGATTCAGTGTGAGACCTACTTCTAGCTAATGAGTTTCCAGCAAAGTGCACAGTGTGGGGTGGGCTGTAGCTGCCTCCCTTTCAACAGCATGTGGCATTCATACATTACCCAGAACAGTCTTTTACCCCCATGTTCTTATTTACCTGTTTCTCATTTACGTTATTTTGTTTTATTGTATGTATTTCCCTAAAAACCTTTAATCCTTTAAACCCAACTCTTTCTTGGAAAGAGTTGATATGAACGTTAATCAATTAATGATTTTCCATTCTTCAATTTGCAATAAGATTTTATTATTTCCTAAAATTTACCTTTGGGTTTCTTATAAAGTGAAAGTAATATTAGAAATATAAAGTTACTAAGCCTTTAAAATAAACTACAACGCTATAATCTGAAGATGGCATGTGATTTATAATTTTTGCTATTTAACAGAAATAAGAAAAGCTTATTGACTGACGTTTTTCCCAACTACTTGTAATATTCCTCATAACACTATTGGTTTTAAAATATTTTAAATATTAAGACATATAATAAAGTTAACAAAGCATCTTCATGATATAATAAAATGGTACTGAAGTCATCAGGAAAAACACTGTAAGCTAATTTAGTCTGGGAAAGGATGTTTGGTCTGCAGCCCAGGCTGTTTCTAAAGAAGGTTTAAGGTTATTATTGGAGTGTTCCAAAGTGCGGCAGCCTGTACTTACAAATAAATGGGAATGGTTTATTGTGTTATTATTTGTATATATGTGTGCTTCCAGAGTATTTGAAATGATTTTTGTTTGTAAGTAGTTTCAGTATTTCCCTGATACTCTTACTCATTCGTGTATTCATTTGGCTGCCATCACGATAGGTTGAGTGCAATGCAAAGTACTAAGGATCCACAGTAAGAAATTGACCCCAGAGAGCTCAGATCCTCATAATCATTGAATATGAGGGCACCAGGAACAGACTAACAGAAGGAGGAAGGGATGAACTCTTCTTGAGGGCTGGGGAGGGCAGGAAAGACCTCAGAAGATGCTTATCCATTCACTAGGCGTGAACAAAGAGGGTGGAGGGAAGAGCATATTCAAAGTCGCAGTAGTATTAGGGGGTCTTCAAATGGAGGGGGGAAAGATACTAAGTTTCTATTTTAATCTCATCCTTGGTTTTGATTATTTTGTCATTTTATAATGAATAGTGCATGCATATTAATTATAAACTGGTAAACATACACTGGAGATATTACTCAAAAGGTATTTATTGGATAAGGTGTCGAATCAAAAGTGAAGCAACACTTTATGTAGACAGAAATCCTGAAACTTGAGTTCAGTCAGTGGCAGTGGGACTGGGGAGGAACATCCCCAAAAAAGAAGCCTCAGAGCTCAACAGCTGATCAGTTAGGAGGGAGAGGGAGAGGAGACAAGGTGACTTAACCAGTAAAAGACCAGCAAGGTCAGAAGGTACCAGTGATTCATGGTGGACATGTTGAATCTGAGGGTTTTGTGACACAGCCTGGCAGTGACCTCCACTTGACAATGGGAAATCAGCATCTGGGGCTTCAGAAAGAGACGTCATTGCCTTTATGTCCAGGGAGAGTATGGACCAGGAGGGCAAGGGGTGGAGTGATTCAAGGGGGCAAAGCAGAGAAAGGTCAAAGAGATAGGAAGAAATGCCAGATATCCTCAGAGAAGCCAATAGATGCCCAAAACCAGGCAGCGGACAGGCACGTGTGTGATTGCTGAGATAAATGGGGGCAGCCAGCAGAGGCTGGAAATGTGGTTCCGTGGCCCCCTCATGCTCTGCAGCAGGGCTGGCTGGCCAGGCGTCTGCAGGCAAACTGTGCTCCTCTCTCAGCAGAACCAAGAAGAAATTTCAGTCCTACTTCCATAAATACAAAAATAAGACTTGGCAAACTTTGAGATCATGACACTGTCTAGTGTAAAATGCCAAACTTTGAGATCACAATACTGTCTAGTGTAAAATAGCAACCACAGAAATGATTTTATATCACTCTTAACTGCTGTTTCTGCTTTTCCAGGACTCTGATCACTGGCATGGCTTCTGGTAGCATTGTAGCTTTTAATATAGATTTTAATCGGTGGCATTATGAGCATCAGAACAGATACTGAAGATAAAGACAGACCCAAAAGCCAAGTTAAAGCTGAGAGCACAAGTGCTGCATGGAAAGGCAATATCTCTGGTGGGAAAAACTCGTCTGCATCGACCTCCGTTTGTGCATTCCATCACACCCAGCAATAGCTGTACATTGTAGTCAGCAACATTTTACTTTGTGTGTTTTTTCACGACTGAACACCAGCTGCTATCAAGCAAGCTTATATCATGTAAATTATACGAATTAGGAGACGTTTTGGTAATTATTTCATATATTGTTGTTTATTGAGAAAAGGTTGTAGGATGTGTCACAAGAGACTTTTGACAATTCTGAGGAACCTTGTGTCCAGTTGTTACAAAGTTTAAGCTTTGAACCTAACCTGCATCCCATTTCCAGCCTCTTTTCAAGCTGAGAAAAAAAAAAAAACACACGTTTGATACTTTGTACATCAGATGCATCTTATTTAAAAGGAATACTTTTGTAAAAGTAAAACCTTGTATAAAGAACAAAATGTTTCTTAATTTTATTGTGGAGTTACAACTTGCATGTTCCTTACTCCTGATGGCTTGATGGAACAGGTGCATTCACACTATGAAACAGAAAGACCTGTCCAAGGACACAGCTTGTATGAAAGGGTTGAATTTGGGCTCCATCAGTAATTTTTGACATTTTCACCAAAATATAGTTTGCACTTTTTAATCTAAATTCATCCCTTCTGAGTGAAATTTGCTCATAAAGCATTTGGATAGTAAGCCATTATTTGCCATTTTGGGTACTTTATACAAAGAAAATTCAGCCCTACCCTGCATAATTTGAAGACACAGCAGAAAGGGGGCTTAGGGATGAGGTCCTGGTTTTTCTTGTATAAATAGGAGTTATGAGCGTTAGTTCCGTAGTAATAACTTCCCAGCACCTGCACATCTCTTCCAGAGTCATCCCACTGGCTTGGTGTGTATACATCAGGGGAGAATAATCTGATGCTAACTTTTTTTTTTCTCTTTGGTTCTTGAATAGCTTAGTTTCTTTAATAACAAGTCAGACTTTATTACAACAATAAACTGAAGTTATTCTTTTAGGTTCTCGTGAAATTCTCACCAAAAGCCACATTCTTAGCCTAAGGCACTTCATCTTTTATGATATAAAATGATGGCTATCAAATGATTTTCCATACATTGTACTGATCAAGTTATACACCCAGGGGTATATACACTTTCTTCATGTTTCTTCTTTGTATATTTGGTGACTGTATCGTCATAGATGTACATATTGTGTCGGTAGGGCTATGAGGCATGTTACAGGAATGTAATTTTCTCAGAATTTACACTCACTTGCAGTCATTTATTTAAAAAGATAAAACAAGATAATGGGTTCTTTGTATTGGCACTTTGCACCAGAAACATATCATTATTTATTGATGTGATTACTTATTTGTTATCCACCTTGTACTAGTAAGTTTTAGCACTGAATTCCTTCTTCATTGTTGTTTGTATTTATGAAATTCTGAAATTATGGGGAATCAGCATAGTGATTAAGTTATTCATCACCAGGCTGTAAAGCAATATCTTGAGTTTGTAGCTTAGAATCGGGAGGACACTGAACATCTGGAAGACAAGTCCATTTCATCTTGAGATCATGGTGAAATATTTTGGATATATAAATTCCTTAAGCTATTGTAACCATGTTTTATTGCAAAGATGTAAAATATGCCAGATGTGTGTGAGTTGGAAATCAAAAAAAGAAAAATAAAATATGCAAAGAATTCATGGATTGTTTCAGATTTCATCGGACACGTCACTAGCATGCTTTCATTGTGTTGTCACACAGGCTTCAGAAGTCATCATCATCTGATGTAGAGTCTACAGCATCTAAAAACATGAAATCGAGTCCTAATGAGGTTCTGCAATTTGCCGAAACCCGAGCTGCTGTGCCGGGCCATCTGGCAGGGATTTGGGGCAACAGTGACCATGGGGAAACAGCCCTCATTGTCCATTCCACATAATCCACTTTGGGGATTGTCTTTATTTTATTTAAAAGGAACTAAGTAGTGAAGGTTATAATATCACCTTTTTTGAGTGTTATCACATAATGCCTTTTTCATTTGAAACCACACCTTCTACAACTCATCAGCTACCAGGCATGGCACAGACAGGGACTGAGGACCTGGACAGGCTGAGCAGCTGCTGGCAAGAGCAGCCACGAGTGGGCTAAGGGGGGTTCAGTCACATAGATTGGCATGAGTGGTTGGGCCAGCGGCCCAGACAGGCCCAGAGAATGACAGAATTGCAGGCCGTGCTTCCATCCGCATTCCCAGGACCCAGGGGCAGACCCAACAGTAGCCTAAGGAAGATTTGCTGCTCTTACTCTCCATCCTATCCCCACACCAGAAATCTGTCAGTCATCTGCCCCGCTGGCTCCCTCACCTAGCCCTCCTACCAGGTACTCCAGCCAACTGATCACTACCTAACGTGCCTTTTGAAACTGCCCCTGCCCTTTCCAGCACTGTCATCTGGACTGTCCGAAAACCTCCTGACCTCTGACCTGTACCCTCCCATCCATGCTCTGCCCTGCTGCGGAGGCACCCATCCAGTCATCTCCCTCCCCACCAGCCTGCGCCCCCTGGTGCCTCCCAGCACTTCGAAAAACCAACACCAATGGCTTAAAATGGTATTCTTAAACTCTGCTGGGTTGAAAATCCCCGGGGAGCTTATTTTTAAAAGCAGGCTCTAGAGTCCCACCGCCTCCCCTCCCACCCCAGGCACTTCTTGGGCACATTTTCAACAACACTGATTTGAGGGATAAATTCTAAGCTCAGTAAAGTGCGGAAGTCCTTCAGGAAACGCCCCCAGCAGCTAGCACCCCTGGTAAACCCGCCTTTTTGCAAGTCCCTGAGAACTCTCTTGCACCTGAGTCCCTGAGGTTCCTCCTACCGGCGGCCCCTCTCTGCTCGCGCCACTTGCCTGCTTCCTTGTTGCAGATGGACCTAAACCAATTTGGTCATGCACAGTCTTTTTTGGCAGGTAAAGTTAGCCACCAAAACGCCACATCTTCACTATTTCATGATGAAAACAACTTTTAGAAACAGTCTCTGCTATGTGTGGGGATTTTTTTTTTTTTTTTTTCCCAGCTACTTGTTAATTGAGACAGAGTATCGCTCTGTTCCCCAGGCTGGAGTGCAGTGATGGAATCTTGGCTCACTGCAACCTCCACCGCCTGGGTTCAAGCAACTCTCCTAGCTCAGCCTCCCAAGTAGCTGGGATTAGAGGCACACACCACCATGCCCAGCTAGTTTTTTTTTATTCTTAGTAGAGATGTGGTTTTGTCATGTTGGCCAGGCTGGTCTTGAACTTCTGACCTCAAGTGATCTGCCCGCCTCAGCCTCTCAAAGTGCTGTGTTTACAGGCATGAGCCACTGCGCCTGGCTGGGATACTTTTAAACGAAACACATTTTAGCAAGCAGGCAAGAGTGCCTGCAATTCTTCTGTGAGTTTGGTGAAGTCCAGAGCTTGGACTTTTTACGTGATCTCAAAACCATTTTACATTTTGAAAGGTACACTTAAAGCAGATGCACAAATATTCTAGAAGTAGCATCCCATGAGCCTTGTAATGCCATCAGCAGTTTAAATCCTCCAACCCAATCATCAAGCTATCAAGTCCTGGGCACCACCCTAAGAGTATATGCTAAAGGCCTCAGTAGATTGTTAAACCCTGGTTATGGAGAGGTAGGAAAGTTCAAATACTTTAGCCAGCGATACTGAATTTATATGTATATTTAGCATCATTAATTCCATCAACAAAAGAACATTTCTATCATCCATTAAGCTAACTTAGATGCCAATAATTTCCCCTGCTGAAAAGCCATTTCTAGTATTTACTATCCTAACTCATAAAGCTTCCAGTTTCTTTAGGATTAGAAAGCTGGAGTATTGGAATGACACCTTTCTGAAATGTATATTTCTGATTAGGGCAACTGACTATCCCTAGGATGCAGTATAAATTAACACATCACATGTCTATACTGGATATTTTAAAGTAAATTACAACACGGTAACATTCCTACTTACACTTACAGGCTCCCTGCTCTGGGAAGTCTTCCCTGACCACTGCCTTAGCCTCCTCACCCCTGGTGGGCCTGGCACAGTGCTGAGCAGTGCATTATTGTAACTCACGTCTTTCCTCCATGTGGCTATGAGCTTCGTGGGCAACACGAAACTTAAATCCTTAAGGCAGTGTTGGATTCAGAGTAGATTCTCAACAAATGTGATTGGCGGAATGTATAGATAAGCAGACAGATACCACATCCCTAAGTAAAATGACAAAGTTAGCTAGGATGGTCCAGAGCCCCCAAACTTCCCTCTTCTCATTGCCCCAGGGTCCACAGCTTCATGTCACCCTTTCCCAGCCTGCACGACAGTGCCTGCCAGGGAACCTCCTGCTCCAAGTACCACCTCAGTCATGGGCCTATTCCATCAAGGTTCAGAGAATCAATTTCCAATAAGCACCAAAAGAGGGAATATTTTAAAATTTTAATTACTGCTCTTGACCCACATCAATTCAGTGGGAAGAAAATGGAGCTGACAGATGATCTGGGGTAAGAACTTCTGGTGTTGCAGCCCATTCAAACTGCCTAAGAACAAAATCCAGTAACTGGGCTCTTCACTCTGAGAATAACTTGTTGGCACCCTCATCAGTTAAAATAGGCACAATAGCTACATTAAGCATTGTTTTGAGTATCAAAATACATAACAAATGCCAAGCACTTACTAAAGCACCTGGCTCCCGGCAGAATTCAGCAGATGGTCATTTCCTCCCACCGTCTGGTGATCATGGATTAGCCTCATCTGCTCAGCATCCCTTTCCCTATTTACCTGCCATGGATCTTCCTGTGGGAAACTTCTCCTCTTTTCATCATGTGATTTAGTAGGACTGCCAGTTGTACCACCAGATCCCTGGAACTTCCTGGACTCAGGCCTGGCCAACCATGTCACCTTCATTTCTGGGACCTCAATGATTGGTCAGGGTTGTACATGACCTGAGTTGCTGAGCCAATGAGAACCCTTTTGAAAATTTTTATATTTTGAAGTCAGAAAGAAAAGTCTTTTTCTTCCAGAGTCACTAACCTATCAATAAGAAATTGGGGACTACTAGCAACCCTGTTCTCCATCGTAGAGAAGACCTATTTGCAATAGGTAAGAATAAAGCCACGAGAAATGAAAGAGCATGTGCACTTGTATGCCAGCCACAAGCTTCTGGGAACCTAAATTGCCCTCATATTTACAGATGTCCCAATTCTGGATGTTTGCTTTAGTCAATGACCAATAAACACTATTCTCTCTCCCTTACATTGATCAAAGCTGTATTTAATTATTTGTTTTTTATACTCGAGATCAAATCAAATAACCCTTAAGTCATACAGCTCCCTGCCCCAGCTCTCCACCCTTGCTTAGAAAAATGTAACATATTCCAAATTTGTTAGGAAACTAAGCATATTCCCAGCCTATGTATGACTCCATAATCCCACATTTAGATATAGTTCCAAAAGAAATGCTTTTTCCACCCGTCAGCACACATGGAAAAGAATGCTCTTGTCAACTTTGTTCCTAATAATCAAATATACCTGTTGAGTTTTTTAAAAATCCAGACACTGATATATGCTGTTAAGAATCAGAATGGTGGTTACTTCTGGCCAGAGGTAGTGACTGGTAAGGGCCATGAGGGGATTTGGGGGTACTGGAATGTTATTCTGGAGTGTTGGACTCTATCTCAGAGCTAGGGGTGTTACAAAGATGGGTCCACTCTGAACAATCATTGAGCTGTGTAATGATGATTTCACACTTTTTTGTGTCTATGTTACACTTTAATAAAAAGAAGTTCACTTTAAAAAAATTTTTTTTTAAGCACTGGCTCTTGTCACCACTCTGAATTTTTCTGCCCATCGTCTGAATTTAGGACCACCATCACCACTCATCCCTTTCTCCAGTGCTTTTTAGGTCTACTACCTTGGCTGCCATGTCCCAATGGGCACTTTTCTTCTGGTGACAGCCTGGCCCCAGTGCCTCCTCCTCCAGGCAGCCTCCCCTCCACTATCCAGTAGGTACCCTGCTGTCTGTATACAGCTTGTACATACCCCTCCTTTAGCACCTTAGTGCAACTATAAAAAAACCAGAAACTGGGTAATTTATACACAACAGAAATGTATTTCTCATGATTCTGGAGGCTGGGAAGTCCAAGATCAAGGCTAGCAGATCTGGTGTTCAGTGAGGGCTCATTATCCATAGATGACACCTTCTATGTTCTCACGTGGTGGAAAAGACAAACTCCTTTGGGTCGCTTTTACAAAAGCACTAATCCCATTCCTGAGGGCTCCACCCTCATGTGCTCATCACCTCCTAAAAGATCCCACCTCTTAAAAAATAGCCAGCTTGGAACTTGGAGTCCTGGGTCTGTGTCCCAACTCCCCTGCTCACCAGCTCTGTGGCACTGGGAAAGTCCTCTAACCTTTCTGAGGCTCAATTTCTTCAGATGTGCAATAGATACAATAGAATGTGGATTTCACATTATTTGCAAATCGTAAGGTACCACATAACTAAGGTTTCACTACTAAACAATGAAGCCCTCAGGCCTCAATTGGAGTTTTTATGACACAGTCAAACCTCCCAGGAGGATCTGGAGCTCTTTTTCTATAAAATCTATGTTCTCTGTGGGGGAACCTGGGCCAGCAGCATAAATTTGCATTTAGGTTCCGTTTACCACCTAGTAAGAAACA